GCGATGGAGACAGCAGCAATGGGAGGGCCGTACAGGGACCCCATGAGAGACTCTGGACCTGGCAGCAGCATGAGGAGGTGTCGGTATAGGGGCCCATGGCAGATTAGGGGCCTGGCAGCAGCTATAGGAGGCCCGTAATCTGCCAGCACCCTATGACAAAAAAGGAACACACCAGCAGTGTGGGAGACTGAAAGTGCACCACATGGCACATGGCATGAGACACTGTGGACCCGTGGCCAGCAGCATGAGGGCCCAGGCGGAGGTACAGGGGCCATGGCAGATTAGGGGCCTGGCAGCAGCTATGGGAGGCCCGTAATCTGCCAGCACCCTATGACAAAAAAATTTAACACACCAGCAGTGTGAGGAGACCTGAAAGTGGCACATGGCAGAGTGTGGCGATGGAGACAGCAAATGGGAGGCCGTGGACCCATGAGAGATCTGGACTTGGCAGCAGCATGAGGAGGCGGTATAGGGGCCCCATGGCAGATTAGGGGCCTGGCAGCAGCTATGGGAGGCCCGTAATCTGCCAGCACCCTATGTCAAAAAAATGGGAACACACCAGCAGTGTGAGGAGACCTGAAAGTGGCACATGGCAGAGTGTGTGGCGATGGAGACAGCAGCAATGGGATGAGGCCGTACAGGGACCCATGAGACACACTGTGGACTGGCAGCTTGAGGAGGCGGTATAGGGGCCCATGGCAGATTAGGGGCCTGGCAGCAGCTATGGGAGGCCCGTAATCTGCCAGCACCCTATGACAAAAAATGGAACACACCAGCAGTGTGAGGAGACCTGAAAGTGGCACATGGCATGAGGAGACACTGTGGGGAGGCTGGCCAGCAGACTCTGGACTGAGGCATGGCGGTATAGGGGCCCATGGCAGATTAGGGGCCTGGCAGCAGCTATGGGAGGCCCGTAATCTGCCAGCACCCTATGTCAAAAAATTCAACACACAGCAGTGTGAGGGAGACCTGAAAAGTGGCACATGGCAGAGTGTGGCGATGGAGACAGCAGCAATGGGAGGCCGTACAGGGACCCATGAGAGACTCTGGACCTGGCAGCAGCATGAGGAGGCGGTATAGGGGCCCATGGCAGATTAGGGGCCCTGGCAGCAGCTATGGGAGGCCCGTAATCTGCCAGCACCCTATGACAAAAAATGGAACACACCAGCAGTGTGAGGAGACCTGAAAGTGGCACATGGCAGAGTGTGGCCGAATGGGACTGGCAGCAGGCATGAGGAGGGCTGGTACAGGGGGGGCCATGGCAGATTAGGGGCCTGGCAGCAGCTATGGGGACCCGTAATCTGCCAGCACCTATGACAAAAAATGGAACACCAGCAGTGTGTGAGGAGACCTGAAAGTGGCACACATGAGTAGCAGAGTGTGGCGATGGAGACAGCAGCAATGGGAGGCCGTACAGGGGACCCATGAGAGACTCTGGACCTGGCAGCAGCATGAGGAGGCGGGTAGTATAGGGGCCCATGGCAGATTAGGGGCCTGGCAGCAGCAGCTATGGGAGGCCCGTAATCTGCCAGCACCCTATGTCAAAAAAATTGAACACACCAGCAGTGTGTGAGGAGACCTGAAAGTGGCACATGGCAGAGTGTGGCGATGGAGACAGCAGCAATGGGAGGCCGTACAGGGACCCATGAGAGAGACTCTGGACCTGGCAGCAGCATGAGGAGGCGGTATAGGGGCCCATGGCAGATTAGGGGCCTGGCAGCAGCTATGGGAGGCCCGTAATCTGCCAGCACCCTATGACAAAAAAATTGAACACACCAGCAGTGTGTGAGGAGACCTGAAAGTGGCACATGGCAGAGTGTGGCGATGGAGACAGCAGCAATGGGAGGGCCGTACAGGGACCCATGAGACACTGGGACCTGGCAGCAGCATGAGGAGGCGGTATATAGGGGCCCATGGCAGATTAGGGGCCTGGCAGCAGCTATGGGAGGCCCGTAATCTGCCAGCACCCTATGTCAAAAAATTCAACACACCAGCAGTGTGTGAGGAGACCTGAAAGTGGCACATGGCAGAGAGTGGGCGATGGAGACAGCAGCAGCAATGGGAGGCCGTACAGGGACCCATGAGAGACTCTGGACTTGGCAGCAGCATGAGGAGGCGGTATATAGGGGGCCCATGGCAGATTAGGGGCCTGGCAGCAGCTATGGGAGGCCCGTAATCTGCCAGCACCCTATGTCAAAAAATTGAACACACCAGCAGTGTGTGAGGAGACCTGAAAGTGGCACATGGCAGAGTGTGGCGATGGAGACAGCAGCAATGGGAGGCCGTACAGGGACCCATGAGAGACTCTGGACTTGGCAGCAGCAGATGAGGAGGCGGTATATAGGGGCCCATGGCAGATTAGGGGCCTGGCAGCAGCTATGGGAGGCCCGTAATCTGCCAGCACCCTATGACAAAAAAATGGAACACACACCAGCAGTGTGAGGAGACCTGAAAGTGGCACATGGCAGAGTGTGGCGATGGAGGACAGCAGCAATGGGAGGCCGTACAGGGACCCATGAGAGAGACTCTGGACAGGCAGCAGCATGAGGAGGCGGTACAGGGGCCCATGGCAGATTAGGGGCCTGGCAGCAGCTATGGGAGGCCCGTAATCTGCCAGCACCCTATGTCAAAAAATTGAACACACCACCAGCAGTGTGAGGAGACCTGAAAGTGGCACATGGCAGAGTGTGGCGATGGAGGACAGCAGCAATGGGAGGCCGTACAGGGACCCATGAGAGACTCTGGACTTGGCAGCAGCATGAGGAGGCGGTATAGGGGCCCATGGCAGATTAGGGGCCTGGCAGCAGCTATATGGGAGGCCCCGTAATCTGCCAGCACCCTATGACAAAAAATGAAAACACCAGCAGTGTGAGGAGACCTGAAAGTGGCACATGGCAGAGTGTGGCGATGGAGACAGCAGCAATGGGAGGCCGTACACAGGGACCCATGAGACACTCTGGACCTGGCAGCAGCATGAGGAGGCGGTATAGGGGCCCATGGCAGATTAGGGGCCTGGCAGCAGCTATGGGAGCTATGGGAGGCCCGTAATCTGCCAGCACCCTATGTCAAAAAATGGAACACACCAGCAGTGTGTGAGGAGACCTGAAAGTGGCACATGGCAGAGTGTGGCGATGGAGACAGCAGCAATGGGAGGCCGTACAGGGACCCATGAGAGACTCTGGACTTGGCAGCAGCATGAGGAGGCGGTATAGGGGCCCATGGCAGATTAGGGGCCTGGCAGCAGCTATGGGAGGCCCGTAATCTGCCAGCACCCTATGACAAAAAATGGAACACACCAGCAGTGTGAGGAGACCTGAAAGTGGCACATGGCAGAGTGTGGCGATGGAGACAGCAGCAATGGGAGGCCGTACAGGGACCCATGAGAGACTCTGGACCTGGCAGCAGCATGAGGGAGGCGGTATAGGGGGCCCATGGCAGATTAGGGGCCTGGCAGCAGCTATGGGAGGCCCGTAATCTGCCAGCACCCTATGTCAAAAAAAATTGGAACACACCAGCAGTGTGTGAGGAGACCTGAAAGTGGCACATGGCAGAGTGTGGCGATGGAGAGCAGCAGCAATGGGAGGCCGTACAGGGACCCATGAGAGACTCTGGACCTGGCAGCAGCATGAGGAGGCGCGGTATAGGGGGCCCATGGCAGATTAGGGGCCTGGCAGCAGCTATGGGAGGCCCGTAATCTGCCAGCACCCTATGACAAAAAATGGAACACACCAGCAGTGTGAGGAGAGACCTGAAAGTGGCACATGGCAGAGTGTGGCGATGGACAGCAGCAAATGGGAGGCCGTACAGGGACCCATGAGAGAGGACCTCTGGGACCTGGCAGCAGCATGAGGAGGCGGTCGGTATATAGGGGCCCATGGCAGATTAGGGGGCCTGGCAGCAGCTATGGGAGGCCCGTAATCTGCCAGCACCCTATGACAAAAAAATGGAACACAACACAGCAGTGTGAGGAGACCTGAAAGTGGCACATGGCAGAGTGTGGCGATGGAGACAGCAGCAATGGGAGGCCGTACAGGGACCCATGAGACACTCTGGACCTGGCAGCAGCATGAGGAGGCGCTATAGGGGCCCATGGCAGATTAGGGGCCTGGCAGCAGCTATGGGAGGCCCGTAATCTGCCAGCACCCTATGTCAAAAAATGGAACACACCAGCAGTGTGTGAGGAGACCTGAAAGTGGCACATGGCAGAGTGTGGCGATGGAGACAGCAGCAATGGGAGGCCGTACAGGGACCCATGAGAGACACTGGACTTGGCAGCAGCATGAGGAGGCGGTATAGGGGCCCATGGCAGATTAGGGGCCTGGCAGCAGCTATGGGAGGCCCGTAATCTGCCAGCACCCTATGTCAAAAAATGGAAACACACCAGCAGTGTGTGAGGAGACCTGAAAGTGGCACATGGCAGAGTGTGGCGATGGAGACAGCAGCAATGGGAGGCCGTACAGGGACCCATGAGAGACTCTGGACCTGGCAGCAGCATGAGGAGGCGGTATAGGGGCCCATGGCAGATTAGGGGCCTGGCAGCAGCTATGGGAGGCCCGTAATCTGCCAGCACCCTATGTCAAAAAAAATTTCAACACACACAGTGTGTGAGGAGACCTGAAAGTGGCACATGGCAGAGTGTGGCGATGGAGACACAGCAGCAATGGGAGGCCGTACAGGGACCCATGAGAGACTCTGGACCTGGCAGCAGCCTGATGAGGAGGCGGTATAGCCAATTGTTCCCATACTGGGGCCCATGGCAGATTAGGGGCTGGCAGCAGCTATGGGAGGCCCGTAATCTGCCAGCACCCTATGACCCAAAAAATGGAACACACCAGCAGTGTGAGGAGACCTGAAAGTGGCACATGGCATGAGACACTGTGGACCTGGCCTGAGCAGCATGAGGAGGCGGTACAGGGGCCCATGGCAGATTAGGGGCCTGGCAGCAGCTATGGGAGGCCCGTAATCTGCCAGCACCCTATGACAAAAAATGGAACACACCAGCAGTGTGGTGAGGAGGACCTGAAAGTGGCACATGGCACCCTGTGGCGATGGAGACAAAACCCACCGACTGTTTTGCTCGCTGCCAAGCTGCCACCTCTTCTCCCTGATGATGCGGAAGCAATAGCTGATGACGACGACGAGGCTGCCAAGTGCGATCAGCCTCATCATCATCAATTAGGGTCTCCGCCTGATCACTACTAGCCCCCTCGGCTGCGTGTGGGTCAGGAGACAGACCTGTCTCTAGACCGGCTACCGAGCCACTCTCGCCACTACTTCTTCGCCTGGCTGCTGAAGAGGCGGATGTCTCCCCCCGTTCCTGACCGCCCTCTGTTAGCTCTTCCTCACTGTACTGGATGACACCGGGAGCACTGGCCTCTGGCTGCGAATTAGTGCTGCCTCGACCCCTTCCTCTGCTGCCACGTCTGCTCGCTCCTAAATCATTGCCTCCTCTGCCACTCCTCTGCATGTTGTCTGACATACTCTTTAATTCAACGATTCTGTGTCCCTGAGTAACAATTCTGTGTCTGTCCCTGAGTAACAATTCTGTGTCCCTGAGTAACGTTTCTGTGGCCCTGAGTAACAGTTCTGTGTCCCTCAGTAACAATTCTGTGTCCCTCAGTAACAATTCTGTGTCCCTCAGTAACAATTCTGTGTCTGTCCCTGAGTAACAATTCTGTGTCCCTCAGTAACAATTCTGTGTCCCTCAGTAACAATTCTGTGTCCCTCAGTAACAATTCTGTGTCCCTGAGTAACAATTCTGTGTCTGTCCCTGAGTAACAATTCTGTGTCTGTCCCTGAGTAACAATTCTGTGTCCCTGAGTAACGTTTCTGTGGCCCTAAGTAACAATTCTGTGGCCCTCAGTAACAATTCTGTGGCCTCAGTAACATTCTGTGTCCCCTCAGTAACAATTCTGTGTCCCCTGAGTAACAATTTCTGTCTGTCCTGAGTAACAATTCTCTGTCCCTGAGTAACGTTCTGTGGCCCTCAGTAACAATTCTGTGGCCCTCAGTAACAATTCTGTGTCCCTCAGTAAACAATTCTGTGGCCCTCAGTAACAATTCTGTGTGTCCCTGAGTAACAATTCTGTGTCCCTAAGTAACCAATTCTGTGGCCCTCAGTAACAATTTCTGTGTCCCTGGAGTAACAATTCTGTGTCCCTCAGTAACAATTCTGTGTTCTGTCCCTCAGTAACCAATTCTGTGTCCCTGAGGAGTAACAATTCTGTGTCCCTAAGTAACGTTTCTGTGGCCCTAAGTAACGTTTCTGTGTCCCTAAGTAACGATTCTGTGGCCCTAAGTAACGTTTCTGTGGCCCTAAGTAACAATTTCTGTGGCCCTCAGTAACGGTTTCTGTGGCCCTCACACAGTAACAATTCTGTGGTCCCTCAGTAACAATTCTGTGTCTGTCCCTGAGTAACAATTCTGTGGCCCTAAGTAACAAGTTTCTGTGGCCCTAAGTATTACGGTTCTGTGGCCCTACAGTAACGGTTTCTGTGGCCCTTCACAGTAACAATTCTGTGTCCCCCATAAAAGTAACGATTCTGTGGCCCTAAGTAACGTTTCTGTGGCCCTAAGTAACGATTCTGTGGCCCTAAGTAACGTTTCATGTGGCCTAAGTAACGATTCTGTGGCCCTCAGTAACCATTTCTGTGTCCCTGAGTAACACATTCTGTGTCTGTTCCACTGAAGTAACAATTCTGTGGCCCTAAGTAACCGGAACATCTGTGGCCCTAGAGTCAAACAATTCTGTGGCCCTAAGCTCACACGTGTCCCTAAGTAACGTTCTGTGTCTGTCTAAGTAAATATCGTTGTCTGTGGCCCTTCAGTACCTAATATCATGTGTCCTACTGAGTAAACGATTTACATGTCGTGTCCCTAAGTAAACATTTCTGTGGCCTACGACCAGTATTAAATTCTGTCTCGTCCCATTAGAGTAACGTGTTCACAAGTGTCTTGGTCCGCCTAAGTAAGGTACCTTCAGTGACTGCTATAGCCCTATGTGGACGTAACAATCTTCTACTGTGTCCCTCATAAAAACATTTCGTGTAGTCTGTCCCTAAGTACAAATTTCTGTGGCCCCTGAGTAACGTTTGATCGTGGCCCTAAGTAAAAGATTTCTGGATGGCCTCAGACGTAACGTTTCTGAGTCACACTAAGTAACGTATTCTGTGGGGCGCGTCAGTAACAAGTAACAATTCTGTGGGCCCTCAGTAACCCCCCATCTGTGGCCCTAAGTAACGGTTCTGTCCCCTCAGTAAACAATTCTGGTGTCCCTCACTGATACCAATTCTGAGTCTGGCCCATAAGTAACGATTCTGTGGCCCTAGTGCACCTTCATACCAGTTCCCTCAACAGCCCTATACATTTATGATGTCCTGTGGCCCACCCCCCCGATTACCCCCCCCACCATTTCCTGTGGCCCTAAGTACCACGGTTCTTGCGAGCCCTACAGTAACAATTCTGTTGTCTGTCCTACAGTAACCCATTCAGTGTCTGACCCTAGAGTACCAAAATCTCGTCACAGCCCTAAGTTAACGGTTTTGTGGCGATCACTCGCAATTCTGTGACCCACAGGACAACAATCTTCTGTTTGTCCCCTGGACGTAAACAATTTGTGGACTAAGGTCTGTGGCCTCACCCCCCCTACGTAAACGATCCCTGTGGTCCCATCAGTAACAAATTCCTGTGTCCCCTCTGTACTCAAATTCCTGTAGTATGTCCCTTAGTAAACAATTCTTTTTGGCCCTAAGTAACGG